GCCATTCCTGTTCTGGAATGGCAGCTCCTACTTCCAACAGACATATTTCGAATTACATCATTCCCTTAGAAATCAGGAGGTGTGTACAGCTCTGAGGTGTGTTTTTCAAATACCAGGCTTCCTCACCAGAAAGACGAGAAGTTACGTTTTCTGTTTCTCTGAAACTCCTCCATACAGCCTAGGAGAGGTCTGCTGACCACTGTCCCTGGGCATGTACTCCTCCACAAGCTGGAGAAAGTTTTAGACATGAGCAGATTTACGTTTCACTTTTACCTCTCTGTGATACTAACAGCTTTGTGGCTCCTCATCTCACGGCAGAAAACAAATATATATTATGGGCCAAACACCTGATCTCTGGGACTATGTTAGATGGAGGTGAAAGCTACCTGTAAAAGAACAACAAACGAGCATTATCTTAAAGAAAGCCTGGTCAATGAGCATGACAAGATAAATCTGAAAACAAATTTACAAATTACTGGCCTAGGGAGGCAAAACACAAGTTAATTTTTTTTAAATAGAAAAATGTTTTGTTTTGTTTAAAAACTCCTCCTTCTGAGATCCAGGATCCATGGTGTGAGAAGTTAGTATCAGTTCTTGTCATCTGGATTCAGCAGATGAGGAAGGAGAAAATACCAGCTGCATACTACTTACAAACCCTGTTCTGGTGGCAAGAGTGAGCTACGTCACTGCCACTTCCAAGACAGTCTGTTTCTTTCCTTCACTGAAGTCAATCAAAGAAGGAGAGAGAAATCAGTACAAACTTTTTTTTCTGAAACAACCGAATAGAAATAAATATAGGGAATAGCACAGCATGCTGATTTTCAGAGCCAGTATCCTCTGAAATGTAACTAGTGCGATGGTACAGCCATTCTGTTGCTTGTTAAAAGAGTATGTGACAAAGAAACAGAGATCTTGCTATATTGCAATGGTAGTAACAGACTATGTGGGAAAAAAATCCTCATTGCGCTGAGAAACTCTATTTTGGTGAGGCAGGTTGGTTAAAATTCAAATTTTCCCTGCTGTTACAGGTTAAAGCTGGATCTTTAACAATGTTTAAATGAACAAGCATTCCTGGTATAAATTCACTTCTGTATGTTTTTAATAAACATGGGAAGGCTGCCGTTGGAATAGCGGGCAACAAGTTGTAGCTAGATGATACAGAGGAAAGGCTGGTAAGGAGAAGCTACAGAAAACAAACAGCCGTGCTGCTCTGTTGAAAACCATGCTATTTACAATACCCAGGGGGGGAGAAAAATAGCACAAATACAATCTTTGTAGTCTTTCCTCAAAGACCGTTTGCAGGTTACACATCCTGCTACCTGAAGCTGCACCACGACCAGCCCTGCCTCACCAGCTGGCAAGCCCAAATCAGCATCTCCCAACGGCTCTCTCTACCTGGGTAGGCCTTCCATGGTAATAACACCGTATCCATGGCAATAGTCAAACCTTGACCTTCCTGACCGATTCCAAAGTGATTGCTCTACTCTTCCTCAGCAGTGCTTGTATTTTCATGGTTTGCAAGAGCAGCAGTATCCCGCTGTACCGTACCAGCCATGGGAGGAGGAGGAGGTAAGAGAAGGAGCCCTCCATGAGGTCTCCAGTTATTAACTCCTGTGTAAGTACATGACGGGGCTGTGGCCACCGAGGTAAGGTGTCAAAATGTCTGTGCCGGCAGCGGTTCACCAGGCCGTGGCACCTTCCTGCGGGGCTCACCGGCACCTGGAGATGGCAGCCCATCTGCCCGGCTGTCAAGGTGGGGACAACATCCAATAGCCAAGACTTAAAAAAATATTAAAAAATAATAATAATCTGAGCCATATTATAAATAGTTCAGTGGCCATACACATGCCACAACCCGCCAGCGGCACCAGCAGAGGCTCTCGGTGGACATGCCATGGCAGCGGTTGATGCCAGGCCATGAGGCGGCT